GAGCCGACACACCATTTAATGAATTCATTAAATAACTGTTAAGACTTGGAGATTATTATTTTTTTTTTTTTGCAGTTTTTGGCCAGGGCTGGGCTTGAACCCACCACCTCTGGCATGTGAGGCTGGCGCCCTACTCCTTTGAGCCACAGGCACCACCCAAGGAGGTTGTTTTTAATATATCTGACAATGATATATTAAATGATAACAAATGAGATACTATTATACTTCTACCAGGGTGGCCAAAATCAAAAAGACCATTAATAAGAGGAGTTGAAGAGACAGGGAGCATCTGAGAACTCTCACATACATACCACTGATGGGAGTGTAAATCTCTGCAACTACTTTACTGTTTGGTGACATCGACCAAGGCTAGACTTACGCATGCACCCAGTAACATGGCAATTCTACTTCAAAGCATAGAACCAATAAAAATACACCAAATGGGGCCAAAATATATATATAAATATTCATAACAGCACTATATAAACAATTGAAATCACTGACAGAAGAATATAGAAATATATTGTGGTGTATTCATACGAGCTCCCTATAGCGCTGAGAACAAATAAACTATTACACACAGCAGGGATGACTGTCATAGCTTATGCTGAGTAGAAGCCAGTCATAAGAGTATAGACAAAATATATATCAACTATAAGCTTTATACTACATACATATACAGCATATACTAAATAACTATAAATATGATAAACTAACACAAGAACTATATTACAATATAGCCATAAACTATACTACATGTAGTACACTATACTATTATAACCACAAACTATATAGAGTGTATGTAGGGTATATAAACTATACAAATCTATCTGTAAAGTTCACACACAGGCAAACAAATCTGTGGTGATGAAAGTCAGGTGGCAATTACCTCTACAGGGGTGTTAGTAACCAAGAAACATCACTAGGGGGCTGGTAAGGTTCAGAGTGATTGATAGACAAAATGTATTCACTTTATAAAAATTCTATAATCTTTGTACTTTTCTGTATATTCTTCCTTAAAATCAATCTTAACAGTAAAAAGTAAAATCAGTAAACAAACAAACAAAAAAACTAGATGTTATTACTCAGATCAGTAAGAAGTCAAGATCTAACCTCCCTGAATGAAATGTCAGGTGCCTCTTACTCCTGATATCATGCTGGAAGTAGACAGAGTGAGAATTTAAGAGCTAGGGCTCCAGCATTAAACTCAGGCTCAAATCCCAATTCCAACACTTCCTAGAGCAAAATCTGAGCAAGAAACTTGAACTTTCTCTAAGCCTCAGTTTCCTTTCTTTTTTTTTTTTTTTGAGATGGAATTTTCACTCTATCACCCAGGGTGGTCACATCACAAACTCCTGGCCTGAAGAAATCCTCCCAGCTCAGCCTCCCGAGGAGTAGCTAGGATTAGGATTACTGGAATTCACCCCTGCCTTTGACTCCATATTTTTATCTTTTTTTTTTTTTTTTTTTTTGAGACAGAGCCTCAAGCTGTCCCCCTGGGTAGAGTGCTGTGGCATTACAGCTCACAGCAAACTCCAACTCC